GATTGAATGAATAAATAATTTCCCATAATAATACAAACACACTAGACGCCACTGTAAATGTGCATTCAAATCTGCCATTTTTTTCCCTGCCAAAAAGTGTTGTTATACATGAATACAAATGTATATTTATATACACTCAACCTCCTGCTAGAGAAACTCCCAGGTGGGGAGGCAATGCTTGGTGTAACTGATGTCAAACACGAACAAAGCTTTGAAACAAGAATCTACAGCCACCAGCGAAGAGTCTGTTTGGATGGCGTGACCTGAAATAACAGTGAAGGCCTGGCACATCATCATCTCATCATCTCATCATCTCATCATCTCATCATCTCTCTAAACATCTCTGTTTAGTGAATACATGACAGTGTTTGGAAGCATTCATGACTACACAGGACATAATGAATATCCATGGTGCTAATTTGAAGGATTGTAGATAAAATACCAGACAAATTTAGCCACCACTAACTTCAGTCATGCCCCTTGTATTTAAGAGCATTAGGCAGTGCTATCAGAAAAATCAACTCCAAATCAAATAGTTGGCCACTGAAGTCCAGTAATCACTACAGGGTTTTCTGTGGAGGTAATTTAGGGTCAGAATGTTTGAAAGCAAAAAATAACAAACCTTGAATGTAAAACTAAACCCATTAATGAGAAAAATTAAACTGTAAATGACACAAACAACAACAGCAGTGTCTGAAGAAATGATATGGGCCCGCAAGCACCACCTGTTAGAACAGACCTAACAGACCCCTTCACTTTCTTCACATTTTGTTATGTTGCAGCCTTATGCTAAAATTGTTTACATTCATTTTTTTCCCTCAGTCTACACGTAGTATCCCATAATGACAAAGTCAAAACTAAAAGAATTTTGGACATTTTTGCAAATTTATTAAAAGGAAATAATAAGAATTCAGACCTTTTACTCAGCACTTAGTTGAGGCAGCTTTGGCACAAATTACAGTCTCATGTCTTCTTGGGTATGACACAAAAACCTTTGCACACCTGGATTTGGTCATTTTCTGCCATTCTTCTGTGCAGATGCTCTCAAGCTCTGCCAGGTTGGATGGGGACTGTGAGTACAAATCCATTTTCAGGTCTCTCCAGAGATGTTTGATTGGGTTCAAGTCAGGTGTGGCTGGGCCACTGTAGACAATTACAGTTGTTCCTAAGCCACTCCTGCGTTGTCTTGGCAATGTGCTTAGGGTCACTGACCTGTTGGAAGGTGAACATTTGGCCCAGTCTTAGGTGTTTACAGACAACAATGTGTTTACAGAAACTTTTGAGTGCATTATTTGTGAAGATCCACATTAAGAAAAAACACATACACAGTATGTAGGTAATTGTAGGTTTTGGATGCTGATAAATTTCACAAACAGCAATTTAAATTTTCATATTTACAACATTTTTAAAAAAAAAATGCTAAAATCCAACCTCACAGGCCTAATATGGAATCTGTAAAATAGTAATATTTAATTGACATGGGATCAGTAAATATGCATGAATTATTTTCTCCAGGAGATGGCAGCATTGTACCTTTTATATGCACTTGGCACTTGTGGTGGTATGTTTTGGTATTTATAGGTATAGGTTTAAGGTTTTTTTCTTTTGTTATGTTTTTTAATTCAGTGTTATTTAAAGTTGCAGTGCCTCTTTTTGGAGCACCAGATATCAATGATAATAATAAATAGTTACAAACAAGTATACTGATATTCCTCCACAGATAATTAATTTAATTTAATTAATTTATAAAGAAAATCTGTTGTATTTTCAATGTTCACACACTTACAATTCATTCACACACTTAGTATGCAGGCTGGGATTCTTTTCGTGGGCATGCTTGTCTAAATTGGCATCATGCCCATGTGTTGAACATGCCCATCAAACGAGTTCCACTCCACCGGTCTGGCACATGCATGCTCGTCACGTTCAGTGGCACCCACACAACAAGCTTGCTAGTGAGAGAATTCATTTCCCTGTCCATTATTCCACAGATGTTTGCTTTAATTTCTTCCTGATGGAGAGACTTTGGTACTCCATCAAAGCAAACACAGTCAAAGAGAAAAATGTTCACCACGAAATCAGAATATTCAGATGAGAGGAGAGGAGAGAACCCACGCATGTAACAATATTGACTGAGCCGTGTACAGATAATTGTGTTACATTTAGAGGGGAAAAGACACACATTTTAATATAGTCACGTGCAAACGAAACAGCTCTGACATTACATCCACCTCTAATGCGTATTTTGGGTTCTTTTATTCATGCACGCCCATTCTTCTGACTCCAGGTATATAGTTATGTGTCTCACAAGGTTCGATTCACACTGAGGAGGCCATGATGTGTTAATCAGTGTTAGACTTTAGTGGTTAGCCAATCTCCGCTATGTGAAAATAATTAACACCAAACAGTGGGGACTGATAATGTGCAAACCACAGTAAAAATAGTTCCAGATGAAGACTTTTCTGTTGTTAAATAATTTGTTGAAAGAGTTCAGGTGTGTGTCTATTGTATGTGACCGTGCCTGAGCTGCGAGACACAAACAGCAATCATTAAGGGAGGGATTATCAAGCAATAATTGCTTTATGTAATGTACTTCTGAAAAGGGCTTTAAGAGCAATTATGAGCAATTATATTAGCAGTTGTTATGGGAGGAGGTAATAACATCTTTAGTGTGTAGCTGCAAACAGCCACTGTTTCAGTGATGCAAAAAAAAAACAATTATCACTCAATTTTAATAGAACACACGTGTACAAGCAAAAACCAACACAGACGCATGCTGCACTCTGATGTGAGCGGAGATGTTTCTGAAGTGTTTTTGGGGCTCAGGTTTGGATACTTTGGGTACTGTAACACCATCAGATCGTAGCTTCACATCCCAGCATTGATATTCAGAAAAGGCACCTAGCAACGTGTGATGACAAAACCCCTTTAAAGGGCTTCTTATCCCCCACCAATTCCAGCCTTATCTCTCATCTTTACATCACTAAGCTTTGAGGGGATCACACTGCAATCCTGGAAGCTTAGGTTTTCCCTCCCTTTTTATCAGTTGACTTTTGCAGCTCGATGGGAATACATCATGTGAAGAGCCATCAGTGGGTGATGACAGTGAGCTGTGGTACCACCTGTCCAGCTCTATGTGATACTATTGTGATATTACTGCGAGCGCATAGAAGTCTTCCATTGCATTAACATTGTGTTCTGTCCAATATCTCGACTCTGATTGGTTTGATTGACATACACGGAAAGCTGCGTATGTCTTTTATCATTTTCACATTAAAGTCACCTGATGTTGAGGAGCTCAGCGCATCTCTCCAAAGGAAGCAATAATCAGTCAATAAAAGTCAGTAACAAGTGTTTTTTTTCTGTATCATCATTGCCTGGTGAAAACATTGTTTCTGTAAAATGTCAACTTGGCTGGAGCTAAGAAGTACACCTCAGTTTCCAGTGTCTTTGAGGTCACCTATATGAGTTCAAACAATAACAGCAGAATCCTCTCAGATTTTACCATCGACGTGTCCTTGTCATATCTACTTGTGTCCTTTCAGTCTCTTTGAAGATCGAAAACTGACCTGGAGTGACCACAGCTGTATTGGCTAATGTGTAAAGACCCATTCAAACTGCCCACTCATACAGGAAGACTGCTATTTATAACCACGAGGCCCAAGTTTCCTTTAAATGCTGCCAATGTTCATCGAAGACACACACACACCTTGCACACTTTCTGACATGTTTGTGTGACTGCCTACATGTGTTTTAATAGTAGGCATTATAGGATGCATGTTGCTCCAATGAGGATAGAAATCCACAAGAACAATTTAATCATGAATCCGATTAAGAGTGACAGAGTTACCTCAAATGTGTGTGCCAGTCACCCATTTGTTTTCATAAGACCGGATGCCAAAAATACATACACAAATTGTAATTACAAGTGTAGCAGTTGCAGTAATGCATTAACTTCCAGGTTTATGTTTATTCCTCAGTTTTCTGTCTGGTTTGTCAGCAGCTGCTGTAGCCTACCAGCAGACCTTTGACCTTCCTCCCAGTTTCACTGCAACTACAGCTTCTCCTTGACTCTTTCTCTGACTCCTGCTATTGTTATCAATGAGATTTTTGTTCTGTAACATCAGCACATGTATGTTTCTGTGTGCATTTATTATTGTGCATTGTTGTGTGTTTGTGGGCACGGATCAGAGACGGAGAGAAGAAACACAGATTGTTTTTCATAGCCAGCGTCCCAAGCTTTCTGCTGCCTATCTGCCAAACCCATCATCTGTGGCAAAAGATCTGCTGCCTCGTGTCACTCCATCTCGCTGTCACCTTGGCAACCGCTGCCGAGGTGAACTGCCAGCTGGGATAGCCGACCTCTGTTGGCTGCGTTCCACAGAGCTGCAGTCCACAGCACTGCCACAGGATGTATGTGGTTGGACTGATATGCAGTATAGCACACAGAAATGGAAAAATTTAATTTCAAAAACAGGCTTATGTGATGCGTCGATCACTTTCAGTAGTCAACATAGTTTCATACAAGTGGGAGATATAAAAACTGAGTAATGGCGTTGTTTAGTGACAGAATTTTGGTTTATGTTACAGTACATATTGGGTTGAGTTCACATAATCAAGCTGCTCGGGCGGCAACTAGTAAATATTAGAATTTTTGAAGAATCTGCCACTTATTTTTTCAATTTGTTGTTTTGTCTGTAAAATGACAGAAAATAGTGAAAATGCCTTTTGTAATTCTCCACAGCTGAAGTGAACTATCAAATATGGCAACGAAAATCATCATATCTTTGCATCAGAGAGTACAGAACCAGCAAAAGTTTAGCGTCTTTGATTAAACAATTGATCGACTATCAGAGTCGCTGTCAAGGACTTCTCCGTCAATCAACGAATCGATTAACTGACAAGTCTTGTGTTTGTGTGTGTGGGTGTGGGTGTGGGTGTGTGTGTGTGGGGAACTAGTAATGATGGCCATCTCACATATATGAACACAATTTTCCCTTATGTCAGATTTATTAAATAATTAGTCTATTCCATGAAAATAAACACAGTGGAAAAAATAAATAGTCCAAATCATCACACGAGAATACACAGCAGACTTACTTGTACATTAACTCAAGGGAATGTTTTTGCTAATTTCAAAAAAAGAAGAGGATGTTTCCTATGAAGGAAAACACAATACTGGAATCATTTCTGCTCTTTGAGCATCTTAAACTGTGTCACAACATAAATCCACTGACACACAACACAAATGTGAGAAACACCTTTAAAGGAAGATAAATTATTGCTTATTAAAAAACAACTTAATGCTGAATAAAGCCCATTAAATCAATGACTTCCATTTAAAAAAAAAGAAAGAAAAAAAAGTAGGTTACAGCCCGGTCTAAGCCTGAGGGACATTAAAATCTGCAGCATTACAAGGGAACTTATATTATTAACAGCACAGAGAGATGTAAATAGCTTTGCCTGTTTGAACTTCTTGGCTTTAAAGCGTTTGCTTTTTCTCTGTAAGCTGTGATCTTTCAGTGAAAATTGCCTTTAGAAGACTTAAAAATTGTTTTCTATTCAAATTTCAGCTAAGATTTTAATTTTCTGTCCCAAAGGCTGATTCATATAGTGCAGAAAAATACTCGACAATGCATAAAAGTAGACATCTGTCCTGCTCTGAAATGCACACACACTGGATAACATTATTGTGGATCAACGGACATATGTACTGTAAGAAAAGTTAACCAAATATTCTAGTCATTCGGGGAAACGTCTCTCTAAAAATCTATTCAAACACCTCACGTTGGTCAGATTTCTCTTCCGTCATTTCGTTTCAGTTATTTTCACGTGTCGCTGTACATCCTCTTGCAGTCTATGGAGGGTGACGGTGTATCAGGACCCATGCTTCCCACCTGTGAGTATGTGTCCTCCGGGGTACGTGGGAGTCCAGGTGGCGTCATGCGCTTCTCTTTCTGCCTGCGGTTGCAGAACCAGACCCTGACCACCTCCTTCTCCAGCTGCAGAGTGTCCGCCAGAGAGTTGATCTCCTGCGCGGAGGGTTTGGGACACTTGAGGAAGTGGCTCTCCAACGCGCCTTTTACGCTCACCTCGATGGATGTGCGCTTTTTCCTCTTCCTGCCCTGGGTGGCGATCTTATCGATGCTGGTCGGGCTCCCGGTCGTGGAGTCGGCCTCCTCCAGCCATTTGTTGAGCAGAGGTTTCAGCTTGCACATGTTCTTAAAGCTCAGCTGAAGCGCTTCGAACCTGCAGATGGTGGTCTGTGAGAACACGTTGCCGTACAGGGTGCCCAAAGCTAAGCCCACGTCTGCCTGTGTGAAACCCAGCTTGATCCGCCGCTGTTTGAACTGTTTGGCGAAATGCTCCAAGTCATCGGACGTCGGGGTGTCCTCGTCTGAGTGTGGCTCATGGTTCACACCGTGATGCTGGTGAAGGTGCGTGTGGTGATTGTGGTGGTGATGGTGATGATGCTGGCTGCCGTGGTCCAGCTCTGGGGACTCCCCGCGCACGAGCCCTGGGTGCATGAGGCTCTGTCCGGCGTGTGAGCTGAGCATCCCGTTGACTGTAAACCCGCCTGGTTGGGAGTAAATGAGGGACTGCTGCTGCTGCTGTTGCTGCCCCTCTGTGATGCTGATGTGCGCTGCGGAGGTGCCTCCCCAACTCCCCGGGTGCGATTGATGGGGTCCCAGATGTGGGGACCTGTGGTGCAGAGCGGAGCCTGAGTGGAGGTCCTCCCTGCCGCCGTTTCTCTTCACCTCTTGCGGCTGGGAGCTGGGGGGCCACGGAGAACCGGCCTCGACTGCTGCCACCGCGGCTGCGGCTGCTGCGGCTGCTGCGTGAGGCAACGATGTCATCCACTGGTGAGCATGGCTTAGCATGTGCCCCCCGTTGCTTGCCACCATGGCTCCCTGCATGAAGTCACTCTGCACCATCTTAACTGAAGGGTCCCCTCTGTATCCACTAGAAACCGTGGTCACAGCGGTGCTGCCCGGCTGCATGCCACCACCCCTCCGATCAGAGTGAAGGACCGGCCCGGATAAAATCCTGCTGCTGGCTAGGTATGGACTTGAGGTGGCTGTTGCCATCCCCCAAAGCATATATCGTTATTTGTATTTCTCTCTTCTGATGTTTGATTAAAGTCCCACTTTATTCTAATCCATAGCCTAAATAAAGTCAGTCTATATCAGCATGAGCGAAATTTTTTTTTTTGCGCTAGTAGTAAAAAAAAAAAGTGTCAAATCACTCCATGGAGGCTTAGGTGATAATTTTAGTTACATTGAAGCTTGTGCGTGCTCAGACATGTGTGGCAAAACATACTTTGTTGCGCAGTCCTGTGCGACAAAAAGATAGTTTTCAAAACTTTTGTCTGTCCCGTGAGCTCCGCCGTGCGTAATCCACAGACCTGATGATATAGAACACCTTCTTTGCTCCGTGACAAACCGAGGAGCTGTTAGACCGCTCACGTGTAGCTCGGTTCTCTGATATTTGGGTTTTGAATGCGATAAAAATGAGAATGACAAAAAAAAAACTTTAAAGCCTCTGTGGTCCTCTCAGTTGTTTCTCTCTCTATCCATCTGCTCTATCCGGTGCGTCCTCTACGGAGCGAAGGAGACGAGCATGTGTTTACGTTGTGCCAAGGCTGCGTATACCCCCTCCATCTCCATCCAATTACAACTGGAAGACTCTGCAAAGCTCCCGCTGATTGGACGCACAGCCGGAGATGAGCTAGTGCGTCTCGCAGTGCAGCCTCGGGTGCACAAAGTTCTTGCTGCAGGAAAAAAAAAGCAACAGTATGCTCGAAAATATTACAATAGAAAAAAAATGACGCACACTGAATACTCTGGCTGTGGCTTTAAGCACGCGCAAAGCATGAATTATCTGAGAATAAGGAGTAGGAAAGCGTGCAACAAAACGCCTTCTCAAATAGCCTATAAAATATCGAATGTATTATTTATTATTATTAGCCTAATATTGTTTACTATTAATATTGTACTTCTTTAACCAATTCTGAGATTATAAAGTCATTAAAGTTTGTTAAAATAATGTTTTACAGTTGTGAATTATCTCTTTTATAATAACGCAGTGCAGCGAGGCCTGTGTCAAGGATACTCAAGTCGGCTTTGGGTAAACAGGGGGTTTGTACGCCTCTTGCATCTTAATGCGCTCTCCTTTTCATATGGTAAAGGGAAAAGGCCACAGTGGCGTGACGCGCCGCTCTGGCGAGCTCTGAAGGTGCACAAAACCAGCCAGCAGTTTGATTTTTTTTTTTTCCATCCACAGGAAACACACCAGTTTCGGTGGGATGTTTCCATGCTAGGTCAGTTTATGGATGGCCTGTTAAATAAACGTGTAGTGGAGAATTTTCTACCTCGGGTTTGCATCGGTTTTAAGGGCCTCAAGAGAGTAAAGCATCGATTGAGACGCATGAAGTTTTTGTGGCTGGAGGAGACAGCCAGGTGCAGCCCAATAAATGTGCTAATTTATGTTTTTCAGCGGATTTGTCTTGGATCTTATCCAAAGAGGTAAAAGATAAATAGGCACAAAAATGCATTTGCCCAACCTGCAACATAAACTGATTCCTTTGTCATAAGTTAAATCCACATATGTTGAGTTATCATGTGCTGAATTACTTTTACATTTATCAAATTTTAGGATGTAGTTAAGGTTGAGAATAGCAAATAGGTATCACATTTCTGTAGCAACAGAAATATGCAATGTACTTTATGATTCAGCAAAATTATCTATCTGTGTTTTACAGTTGTTAAAAAAAGTTTAAAAATGCATTAAAGTCACAACAAACTGAGTGAGTAATGCAGGAACTGTATCAGTTCCAATAGAGACACTTCAGGAATTTTAAAATGAAAAGTTTTTCATGTATTTTATTTGTTTTTGTCTGTATCATGGAAACTGGTAAGAGTGTTCTGCACCGTCCCTTCAAATGCGCCCAGCGACTTTTTTTCAATGCAGGATGTCACTCAGGGGTTATGTCCAGAGAGCACACTGATATACTCACTCATACTCTACTCAGCTCAATTCTAGGTAGCATCACATGCTGCATAAGACAAGACATTTTGCAACAAAATGTTTGTATGGTAGTGAATAATCTGCTGCGTTTAAATACTGGAATTTAGCTGCATAAGGTTTTAACCTCTGTGACTTGCAGGAAATTCAAGAATCCTCAAATGTCAGACACCAGCTTGAAGAATTATCACTTTCTGATAAGGCATCCTTTGTAAAGGGTTTATAAGTCAAAGCTAATGGCTTTATAAATGGTTAATTAATTAACTGATGATCAGTTTTTAGCCATTTATAAGAACAACTTGCAAGTCTTTGGTTGCAAGTCTTTAAAAAAATATCTACTGGTATAGATCTTTCTCCAGTATGACACTTGGTTATAAATGTTAATCAGTAATTAAGGAAAGGCTCTTAGAATAATGCAAATCTGCAGTTGAAAATGTTTCGTATTGTTAATACTTTAATTTTGATCCAGTCTTTCGAAGGGGTCTTCATGATGAACTAAAGAGCTACACAATCACACAATGCAGATGACGTGCGCCACACAAGCCAGGTCTTTTTACGTGTAAGCCCAAATCTGTTTTTTTTAAATAATGGTATGTTTACAATATTCTTAGTTATCTTGTCTTTGTGGTTTTAGGAATCGAATATTTAAAAGATGATATGTACGATGTACAAAGATTAATACATAACAAATGAGAGGTGTGCATCAATATCAAAGTTAAGCCAGGAATATCGTTGCATATGTAAACATAGTGGCTGTAAGGAATTAGTAAAGTGGTTATCAGTTATTAATTGTTAAGTACATTAGTTTTAATTTACAAACACCAAATTCACAACTCAGACTGATTATTGAAATAACCCTTTACTAATGACTAATTTGTCATTAACATGTGTCATGTGGGAGGAAGATATACACCAGCCAGAGGGATTTGTCACAGACTGGCAACCCCTTGTTCCAGTTAATAGATTTTAAGGATTTTTAAGCATTAATAAATGATTTATTAATTATTAATAAAGCTATAGTTACAACTCGTAAACCCATTATTTGATAGAAAATGAGACAACTTCGTATAAGTGCTTCAGAAATCAGCGTCTCATTATTAAGTGGTAATTTATTCCACAGCATTTGAAACCTGTTTATTGATGAGCTGTTTTCCGTAAAACAAAGTGAAAACATGTAGAAAGAGCTACAAAAGCCGCACACTGTTTCTCATATTTCCAACCTACCAATGCACTGTGGAGAAAACCAGACGACTCAGGGAATGCAGTAATGTTTTTCATGTGTTGTGCTGGCTGGTCACAGCACTGGGTCCTCTATTTGTTATTCATGAAGGAAGCTGGGTGAAGAGGCCTTCTTATGATGCACATTTTTCTCTCTGCTCTCTCCCTTCTCTCTCTCTCTCTCTCTCTCTCTCTCTCCACGGAGCTGTTTGACAACTAAGCAAATATGCTGTTTTAGTTGTAGTGAATCCTGCAATTAATCCAGCATAATGAGCATGACACCATCAGCTAATTGACTTTATTGTTTCTTTTAGATTGTATTCAAATCATTTACACAAAGATGTTGTCTCTCTCTCTCTCTCTCTCTCTCTCGCTCTCCCTCTCTCCTCCTCTCTGTCTCCCACTCCTCGCCCTCTGTTGAGTCTTCAATATGCAGATCGGCCATTTCTGCCCCCGGGCTATTTTCTTTGGTCGACTTTTGAAATATGCAAATGCTTCCAACAAAAATTGCAAAGGAGAAAAGGAAAAACCTTCATCTGGGCTCCAGGAGTTTTCCATTCAAAGAAACAGATGATTTTCTCTTGTTCATGCTCTTGTTCCAGTTCTGTTTGCTTTGTCAGTCAAGGGTCTGTCTAATTAAGAAGAGAGCAAAACCAAAAACCAGCCAGACAAAACAAAAATGAAGTTGCAAGGGTGACAATGTTGTTGCTGGTATTTGCTGAAGTTATTAAGTAAATCGGGTTATCAATAATTTCTGCAGAAACTACAGCAATTTCTTACTTTGGCTAGGAGTAGTACTGAACATCTGAGATCTTTATTGATTCATTTCATCTCTCTTGTAGAAGCTATAAGACCAGCCAAGTCATTGTGTTCCTCTGCTGTGAGCCATGCGATGTGGTGTTTACAGAATGAACTGTACTGATCTGCCTGTCTTCACTGAAAACACTGCTGAGAGAACAGAACTTATCTCCCTGGCTTTCATCCCCCTACTCTTTATATTCCACCTCTTCGGGTGTCATCCCGTGGTTCTGATCATGAGTGTGTTTGACCTTCAGCTCTCCCTGAGTTAGAGGGATCCTTCACAGCATGAGTCTCTACCCACAACCCCCTGCTGCGTGTTTAAATCAGAAGCAGAGGCAGCCGTGGAGAAGAGAGAGAGGAAGAGGGGAGAGACAAAGTGTGTTAGTCGGGCTACAGAGAGAGTGGGGAAACAGAGGATATGGAGGGGAAATGATCAAAGTATATCCATTTCCAAAGTCCCCATTCACAGAGACTGAAAAATATGAGGCAAACATTACCAGTTATATTCAAATTTAAAGGCATATGACATTTCTGAGGTTTGAACATGTGTCTTAATGCACTGTGATGTGACATTTTAAATTGCTCTTCAGTCAATAACCGAGTTGAAAGATGATTCATAAGGCATGAAAAGTTTGCTGGGACAGAAACCCATTTCTTAACTGCACTTGATGTGGTGGAATTACTCATGGCAGAGCGATGCTAGAGGGAGAGGACAGGAAGGGGGGCAGTTCTGTTTACCACACTGGAACAATTGTCAATTACAAACCCCTGCTGCGACTTAAATAATGACACCCAATGGACAGATGCACTGGTTAAACACTGTTGTGGACAGGCCCATTATGTATGAGCGGGGGGAAGTTAATGTGTGAAAATTACATTCATTAATCCCAACAGATAATTTGAAAGGGGCCGAAGTGACAAGGAACAGCGCAGAGAAAATACAGCGGGGAAAATGGTACAAAGACATCACTCATCTCTCTTTTCTGTGTGTGTGTGTGTGTGTGTGTGTGTGTGTGTGTGTGTGTGTGTGTGTGTGTGTGTGTGTGTGTGTGTGTGTGTGTGTGTGTGTATCCAGGTGCTTGCAGGTGTGTGCTGGGACTGAAATTTACCCATTTCTAAGTGTCTATAAGCATTAACATAATGGTGAAAGATGTTCCTAGAATGAAGGCATAGAAGTCTAAGATGAATATTTATGCTGAACTAAACATGGGAGAGCAACATCTGGGCCATCGTAGAAGAAGACCAGAGGAAATTCAGAAAAGATTAGAGTCTTGGGCTTTGGTGCATTCAGATAAAGTCATGGCCTATACAGAAAATATGGTGCTTATATAGCTGCAAAAAAAAAAAAAATAATAAGACATGGAAGTTGGGTTAAAGGAAAGGAAGTCTTTGAGTTTTTAATTTCCTCTTAGCTTTTAGTAAAGTTCATGCTCTGAAATAGAAATTTAAAAAATACATTACGACTACATTTGTGGTTGTAGTTGTGTCTTCCCACAGTGGCATCTAATGAGATTTTATCCACGTTCTCTCTAAAGTTCCCCTGCCGTCCTTCGAATGCGACT